AAGTACTCTATCACTAATTTAAAATAACTATGCCCGGGCATGGTGGCCCACCCATATAATCCCAGCACTCTGGGAGTCTGAGACAGGTGGATCACAAGGTCAGGAGTTTGAGACCAGCCATTACCAACATGGTGAAACCCCATCTCTACTAAAAATACAAAAATTAGCCAGGGGTGGTGGCATGCACCTGTAATCCCAGCTATTCAGGAAGCTGAAACAGGAGAACTGCTGGAACCCAGGAAGGGAGGTTGTAGTAAGCCGGGATTGCACCACTGCACTCCAGCCTGGGTGACAGAGTGAGACTTCATCTCAAAAAATAATAAATAAATTAAATATGCTAGATTAAATTGTTTCATACTAGTTTATTTAGACGTTTCATTTTCACTTCTCAATATATTTTACTTAGTGTTTGTTTGTTTTGAGACAGAGTCTAGTTCTGTTGCCCAGGCTGGAGTGCAGTGGTGCGATCTTGGCTCATTGCAACTTCCCTTCTTGGGTTCCAGCAGTTCTCCTGTTTCAGCCTCCTGAGTAGCTGGGACTACAGGCACACGCCACCATGCCTGGCTAATTTTTGTATTTTTAGGAGAGACAGGGTTTCACCATATTGGTCAGGCTGGTCTCGAACTCCTGAACTAAGGTGATCCACCTGCCTCAGCCTCCCAAAGTGCTGGGATTACAGGTGTGAGCCACCTCACCCAGCCCTCACTTAGTTTTTATATGGTTCTTCACTCATTAGTTCAAGTGGTTCTGAAGGGTTGCTTAGTGTCACATTGATCAGCCAACCATCTTCATAAGATTTGTCGACAAGTCCAATATTTTCTGTAAGAGCTTCGTTAATTTTGGTTATTTCTCCTATCAGAGAACAGAGTTCTTTAGCAGCTTTCAAGCTTTTCAAAGCACCAAATTCATCTTTTTTTTTTTCTTTTAGACAGAGTCTCACTCCATTGCCCAGACTGGAGTGCAATGTTGTGATCTCGGCTTACTGCAATCTCTGTCTCCTGGGTTCAAGATATTCTCCTGCCTCAGCCTCCTGAGTAGCTGGGAGTACAGGCATGCGCCACCATGCCCAGCTAATTTTTATATTTTTAGTAGAGAAGAAGTTTCACCATATTAGTCAGGCTGGTCTTGAATGCCTGACCTCATGATCTGCCCTCCTTGGCCTCCCAAACTGCTGGGATTATAGGCATGAAGCATTAGCCACCGCACCCAGCCTTTTTTTCTTTTTCTTTTTTCTGAGATGGAGTTTCACTCTTGTTGCCCAGGCTGGAGTGCAATGGCAAGATCTCAGCTCACTGCAACCTCCACCTCCAAAGATGAAGTGATTCTCCTGCCTCAGCCTCCTGTGTAGCTGGGATTACAGGCATGCACCACCATGCCTAGCTAATTTGTATTTTTAGTAGAGAGGGGGTTTCTCCATGTTGGTCAGGCCGGTCTCGAACTTCTGACCTCAGGTGATCCACTTGCTTTGGCCTCCCAAAGTGCTGGGATTACAGGTGTGAGCCACCACGCCTGGCCACCAAATTCATCTTGTTTGTTCAGTTTTGTCCCAACTTTAGGCAGAGTACAGTAAACATTTTCCAAAGCTTACTGTGCAAAATTGTGGATTCCTACTGTTTTAATACCATTTTCTGTTGTTATCCACTAGTGTCTGTGAATTTACACACTGCGGGAGTAAGGCATATGCAGTTTCCAGAAGGTGGTCAGCATTGCCAGTGGGGTGGGGCAGCCCTGGACCCACTTTTTAAAAATTGTGGTAAAATACACAATGTACCATTTCTTAATGCTTTTTTCTTCCCTTTTTTTTTTTTTTTTTTTTTTTTTTTTTTTTTTTTGAGATAGGGTCTCCCTCTGTCGTCAAAGCTGGAGTGCAGTGGCACAAATACAGCTGACTGTAGCCTTGACCTCCTGGGATCAAGCAATTCTCCCACCACAGCCTCCCTAGTGGCTAGGACTACAAGCACGTACCAACCAACCCAGCTAATTTTTATTTTTTAGAGACTGGATCTCACTATGTTGCCCAGGCTAGTCTAGAAATCCTGGGCTCAAGCAATCCTCCCACCTAGGCGGCTTCCCAAAGTGCTGGGAGGATTACAGATGTGAGCCACTGTACCCAACCTGTTTATAATTTTTTTCCCCTTCTAGACTGTAAAATTCATGTAGGCAGACAGTTTTGTTCAAAACTGTTTCCCATGTAGCACAGTGTCTGGCAATAAACCTTCAGATAAAACTGTAAATCTTGGCCGGGCATGGTGGCTTATGCCTGTAATCCCAGTACTTTGGGAGGCTCAGGCAGGTGAATCACCTGAGGTGAGGAGTTTGCGATCAGCCTGGCCAACATGGCAAAACTCCATCTCTACTAAAAATACAAAAAATTAACTGGGCATGGTGGTGCATGCCTTTAATCCCAGCTACTTTGGAGACTGAGGCAGGAGAATCACTTGAACTCAGGAGGCAAAGGTTGCAATAAGCTGAGATTGCGCCACTGCACTCAACTAGGCAATAGAATGAGACTGTGTCTCAAAAAAGGAAAAAATAATTAAGTCCACCAATCTTGCCATGGCCCACGCACCCCTCTGTGCAGCTCTGACCTGCCTCCCTACAACTGTGGCCTGCTCTTGGGCCCCTTGCTCACCATGTTTCAGCCATGCTAATCTCATAATTCCTCTTTTTGGAAAATGCTCTTTCTTCTGTTGGTAATATTCTTTCCTCCACAGTTGTATGAAAATTCAGCTAAATATTAGTTTCTTAGGGAAGTCTTAACCCTGAAAGTGACTGTGTCTATATGTTACATGGTTTCAAGCACAGTATACTCATTAACTACCTGTTTTCTCTGATAAGATTGCAATTTCAAGAGTGTTTTATCTGTCTTTTCTTTCCATTTTTTTTTTTTTTTTTTTTTTTTGAGATGGAGTTTTGCTCTGTCACCAGGCTGACGTGCAGTGGCACAATCTCAGCTCACCACAACCTTCGCCTCCCGGGTTCAAGCAATTCGCCTGCCTCAGCCTCCTGAGTAGCTGGGACTACAGGTGCACACCACCACACCCAGCTAATTTTTGTACTTTTAGTAGAGACGGGGGTTTCACCATGTTGGCCAGGATGGTCTCCATCTCTTGACCTCATGATCCGCCCTCCTCAGCCTCCCAAAGTGCTGGGATTACAGGCGTTAGCCACTGAGCCCAGCCATTTTTTGAGATGAAGTCTCGCTCTGTCACCCAGGCTGGAGTGCAATGGCATTAGCTCAACTTGCCGCAGTCTCCACCTCCCAGGTTCAAGCAATTCTTGTGCCTCAGCCTCTCAAATAGCTGGGACTACAGGCAGCCACCACCATGCCTGGCTCATTTTTGTATTTTTAGTAGAGATGGGTTTTTACCATGTTGGCCAGGATGGTCTTGAACCCCTGCACCTCTGGTGATCTGCCCACCTCAGCCTCCCAAAGGCATGAGCCACCATGCCCAGCTAGCTGTGTCTTAATAACTGTTATATCTATAGGGCCTGGCATATAGTATATGCTTATTAAACATTCATTGAATAAATATCACAGCATCTTCATATGACCTATAGCCTAGCAAGAGTATGGCAATAAATTGCAACACAATGTGTCATTAAATTGGTGTGTGTGTGCGTGTGTGTAGAATCTTAGTGTAAAAAAGAGGGAAATCAATATCAGTCCTGATGTAGTTAGCACTCAGGTCCCCAAGTCTATTTGGGTCCAAGAGTAAGTACCGGATAAATAAGTGGAGGGCAACAAATGATGGCAGGGAACATACACAGTGCTACCAGCAGAGAGAAGCAGCACCCAAGCTGGGTGGGAAATGGTGTTTTCTGAGGAGGTGAGTGCTGAAAGTAGAAAGAAGACTAGGAATTAGCTGGACCGAGGTCGTGATTACGGGGAGGGGTAGGATGACAGGGACAGAAGCAGGGTACTTGAAGCTAAGACTTTGCACAAAGGCCAATGGTGAGAGAGAAAAGAGAGTCCAGAGACATGGAAGGGAGGATAAATGGGTAAAGGGAAGAGCCCAGATCTTGTTAGCCAATTTAAAGATTTAGATTTGGTTCAGTGGCTATTGGGGTGCCATTGAAAGTTTCAGTGGGCCAGCGCAGTGCCTCATACCTGTAATCGCAGCACTTTGGGAGACGGAGGCAGGCGCATCACCTGAGGTAAGAAGTTCAAGACCAGCCTGGCCAACATGGCAAAACCCCATCTCTACTAAAGATACAAAAATTGGCAAGTGCAGTGGCTCACACCTGTAATCCCAGCACTTTGGGAGGCTGAGGCGGGCAGATCACCTGAGGTCAGGAGTTCAAGACCAGCCTGGCCAACATGGTGAAACCCCATCTCTACTAAAAATTTAAAAAAATGAGCTTGGTATGGTGGCGTGCACCTATAGTCCCAGCTACTCAGGAGGCTGAGGTAGGAGAATCGTTTGAACTTGGGAGGCGGAGGTTGTAGTGAGCTGAGAGCACGCCACTGTACTCCAGCCTGGGTGACAGAGTAAGACTCCATCTCAAAAAAAAAAAAAAAATAGCCGGATGTGGTGGTACACACCTGTAATCCCAGCTACTCAGGAGCTGAGGCAGGGAAATCACTCAAACCTGGGAGGTGGAGGTTGCAGTGAGCTGAGATTGCGCCACTGCATGCCAGTCTGGGCGACAGAGTGAGACTCCATCTCAAAAAAAAAGTTTCAATGAAGGTTTCAGAGGGGGCGTGATGACACCTACATTCTACAAAGTTCACTCTGATGACAGGGCCAAGAAGGAAGGCCACAGTGGTTTGTGCTATTGTCTGGGCAACTGATTCTCAGGGCTCCCAGCAGGTGCTGAGGTTAGGTCTGCCCAGCCAGGATCTTGTCAAGGAGGGAGGGAAGGAGAGTCTGGAGGAACCACCCTGGTCTGCATCCAGCTCCTCCCTTTTCACTACTGTGGTACTGTGGTTCTGTGGTTTGGGCAGATGGGACATACCATAGTCTTCAGGAGGTGAATTGTCATTGTTTTGTATTTAGTACAAGAGACTGTGCAGGCCCAGAATGAACTGGTGTTTGAGGCAGTGCAGGACAAAGGCAACATGGAGCAGGCCATCCTTGAGATGAAGAAAAGATTTGAAGTGGTAAGTGTAAACCCCAGCCTTTTTCCTTAAGTGTGTTTTGGGCATTGTAACTAGACCCAGAGAGAAACCTTTAAAGTTGGAAACTTTCAGCCAAGACAAGAGGACAGCACAGGCCACTTGGTAACGGGCCAACATATAGGCTAGCTTCCTTCCCCAAGGTTTCTTGGCATGATGTGGGCCCCAGGGGTTCAACTCCAGAGTGTAGTTGTGCTTACCTTGGGAGGTTCTCTGAAAGGAGCAAGCTTTGGTTCTGCTGGCACATCCATTGGTCTGTTTTCACATTTTATTGTGCTTTCTGACTTGCATTGTCCGTTACTCTCTTTGTCATTGCTTCTCACCCCAGAGACAAGCAGAGTTCATAGAAATGAAGTCCAACCTCAAGCACCTTGAAGTTTTAGTTGCTCAGCAGAGTAAGGAACTCCAGCAGCTGTGTGAGCAACTAGGCCAGCTGAATGTGCCCAGTGTCCTAGCAGAGCTGAAGAGATTGATCTTAGTGCCTCTAGTACCTGGGCGTGTGAAAGACAGTGCTTCTCAAACATCGCCACCTTTGGCCCAGAGCCTCAATCTCACCAGGCAGGAAAAACACACCTCTGAGGAACCAGTTTTATGGCAGGCCCAGACCCTCCCTGCTGCATGGAATCCTAGTATGGGCTCCCTACAGCCTGGAGAATTTGGCGTCTGGGGTGAAGGAGCAAAGAACGATGCTCTCCAAGAAGAGGCTGCACTGCCAGCATTTGGATCCCATGAAAGAAATAGGCACGTAAAGGACAAGGCAGTACAGACTAACTGCAAGAACTGGGCTATTACTAAAACAGGTGCCAAGAACCATGGTTTCAGCATCCCAGGCCATAAGGTTCCTAGTGACAGGGACCTGGTTTCCCAAGGAGCCTCACAGCTCACATCCCTGGAAATAAACAGCATTTCAACCAGCACTAAGAATGCCTGCCAAAAATATCAAGCCCAAAGTATGTTTTCGTGTGACCCATGTCCATGTGAACAGCTGGTGACTAAACAGAAAGATGGGACTGTAGAAGTGAGGGGGAAAGGCAAGAAGCAGCAGCCCAGGAAGGCCCACAGGGCCCACAGAGGCAAACTCCTAGCCAGGAAGCAAAAACAAATCCCAAACCAGACCTGTACATTCAATTCCAAATATCAGAGTCCTCAGCCTGCAGTTTCTGACCCACAAAGCCCTCTCTTCAGGCAGCAGGAACCCCTTGCTCAGCCTCTGCATCTGCAGTATCCCAAGAGCCCTAGAAAACCAGTCTGCCCTATTCTGGGAGGAACAATCATGCCCAATAAGACAATAAGGGCAGTTCAGGGAAGACACTTACAGCTCAGCAGGTGCTCTTCCCAAGACAACAGGCGACTTTCCAGCAGTCCCCAAGGGGACCACCAGATGAGCTGGTTCAGTGACCTCAATCTTGGATGTTCAGAGACCCCTCTATGCAAGGAGACAGGGAATAATTTGCTCTATGACCTGGGTTTTGATAGTAGTGATGATGGCTTCTGACCAGCCCACACTTAGTTTATTGGTCTCAGCTAGAAAGACAAACTGCAGAACATTTGGTCTGGCCAACAGCAGAAAGTCCCTGAAGCCTGCCAAGGACCCTCAGGGTCAGAGGCCCTACTGAGGAGGGGTCACTGGGGGGCAGGGGCAAGGGAAGGTCCAGCACTCTGGGTACCAGGTGCTGCCCATGACAAGGACATAGGGTTAAGTGCATCCTTATTTATTGGAATGAAATGTAAAAATGGTGGTGATGAGAGCTGAGGCAGCAGCCTAGTGGTGGGGGCATCTGGAGGAGGGTGCTTGTACTTGGCGAAAGGCAGGCAGGCATCCTTATGGAATACTGTGTAGCAGAAGGACTCTCAAAAAACTGTAGCTGTAGCAGCATGACTCCAAACAACATTTTTGGGTCTTTAAAATATTCCCTACACATAACCAATACATTTTCAGGCCTTGGGATTTTTTTTTCTTTATTTTTAGCCACTTATGCTGCCAGAATGCTTGCATTTTTTGATCAGTAGACATATTACAGGACACCCTAAATCTTCCTGTGAACAGAGAAAGAGTGATAAGGCTGCCAGTGAAAGAGGTGACATGCACTAACAAATGTCCAGAGCATCACTGCTCACAAGCCATTTTTCCTCCTGGCTGTTTTTTCCCTTGTTCTGTTTTTCAAGCACTCTTAAACTATTAATAGTGCAGACCTTGTATTATTCCTGAAGAGCAGTGGGCTTATATGGGACTTTGGCTTTCCATTTATATCTTGCTGAAGTTGTTTGTTGTTGTCATTGTTAGTTTTGTTTGTTTGTTTTTTGAGATGGAGTCTCACTGTTGTCAGCCCACCCAGGCTGATGCAATGGCATGATTTCGGCTCACTGCAACTTCAGTCTCCTGGGTTCCAGCAATACTCCTGCCTCAGTCTCCTGAGTAGCTGAGATTATAGGCGCCTGCCACCATACCTGGCTAATTTTTGTATTTTTAGTAGAGACGGGGTTTCATCATGTTGGCCAGGCTGGTCTTGAACTGCCCTCAGGTCATCCACCCACCTCAGCCTCCCAAAGTGCTGGGATTACAGGTGTAAGACACCATGCCCAGCCTATTTAAAAAAGTTATTTTTTTCAATTTTGGTAGCACATATATATTTTTTAATAATCAGAAATAAAGATAAAACATTTAAAAACATATATATGTATATATGTGTGTGTGTGTGTGTGTGTGTGTATATATATATATATATATATATATATATATATTTTTTTTTTTTTTCCCCCCCAAAGATGCAGTCTTGCTCTGTCACCCAGGCTGGAGTGCAGTGGTGCTATCTCAGCTCACTGCAATGTCTGCCTCCCCAATTCAAGCAATTTTCCTGCCTCAGCCTCCCAAGTAGCTGGGATTACAGGTGCCTGCCAACACACCCAGCTAATTTTTGTATTTTTAGTAGAGACGGAGTTTCACCATGTTGGCCAGGCTGGTCTCGAACTCCTGACCTCGTGATCTGTCTGCCTCAGCCTCCCAAAGTGCTGGGATTATAGGCGTGAGCCACTGCTCCCGACCTATTTTTTCTTTCAAGTTTATCAAACTTATGTCTCAGTTTAATATTTTAAGTTTACCTAAGAAATCAAATAGAAGCCACGCACAGTGGTTCACACTTGTAACCCCAGCACTTGGGGAGGCTGACTCAGGAGGATTGCTTGAGGCCAAGAGCTCACACCAACCTGGGCAACATGGTGAGACACCATCTTTTAAGAAAAAAAAAAAAAAAAGATCAGCTGGACGTGGTAGTGTGTACCTGTGGTCTCAGCTACTTGGGAGGCTGAGATGGGAGGGTCACTTTAGCCCAGGAATTCGAGGTTGCAGTGAATTATGACTGTGCCACTGCACTCCAGCCTGAGTAACAGACCAAGACCCTGTCTCTTAAAAACAAAAATCAGATACATACCATCTTTTTAGTTCCTAAAGCTCTCACAAGATGAGTTTCAATAAACACCACCCATTCAAACTGGTTTTTCCTTTTCCTGTATTATATGAAGGTGACGATCCTCATGGGGATGGATAGTTTCCAGAATTTGCCCATTTCCAAGCCAGTATGGTAGCTGACTTTGGGGCCACTGAGTGGACCACTGTAGAAAGCTATGATTCTTGTTTTTTATTTTTTACATTATTTTCAGGGATGTGTGTCCCATCGAAGTCTCATTATGGAGGAGCAGAATTTTCCTGGGACACCTATGGCAGGGCTGCCAGATACCTAAACTGCTCTCACTCTCATTTCCAGACCAAGGGCCTCCTGTGGCCTGTAGGGAGCTATGGGCAAGCACAGCAAACCTCTCTGAGGCCAAGGAAGTTCAGGTATGAGCTGTACACGAGGCTGCCCTGGCTCATCCTCTCCCTTCAGTCCTCACTGGGTGTCTTCTCACCCTGCCCTCTGCCAGCTCCACTGCTTTTCCTGCTGGATTTCATTGCTTGTGTAAGAAAAATATGGAAGGAGTCCAGCCACACAGTGGGTTATTTCTAGCCTTTCACAGACTGACTAAATGCCGAAGGGGTCTGTATCTAGAAATCTTTTATTACTCTAAGTTGAACAGTTTAATGATTGGCCATTTGAATTCAGACTTGAGACTCCATTAGTATTTATGACTTTGGCCTTCTTATTGAGAACTGTGTCCAACTTTGAAATGCCAAAGCGGGACCCTTTGTTCTTTGATCCTGCTGTGAGTTAAGAAATTCTGTATTTCTTCAGATATATTTCATTTTGTGTAATAAAGTCAAGGGTCAGAGTGACTCAGTGTTCCATGAGTTAAGTGTCTTTGTAGAATGAACAGTAAACTTATTTCCTAATAAGACTGGGTTAATTAAAATTACACTGCCTGTCTCTGGTGATCATCAGAAAAGGATGTTGTTTCTTATTCCTAAGGCTTAAAAAAAAATTAACTACTGTGTTCCTGTCAGATTTGGTGAGGATGAGGCAGCCCAAGCATGTCTCTGGTGCAATCAACGTTTTTGGCTCTTCAGATGCTCCTGGAGCTGTATGTGGCTACCCAGGGGCAGATGTGGTAGGACATCTATGGATCTGGGGCCCAAAAAGCTACCCAGGGCCTTCTCCCTCTGATACAACTCCACCTACAGCCTAATGATGGAAATTAAGCTTACTACAATACCAAATTGTCTCCACATTCGCATGTATCAATGTATTTATTATTTTTTGAGATGGTGTTTTACTCTTGTGGCACAGGCTGGAGTGCGATGGTGCAATCTCAGCTCACTGCAGCCTCCACCTCCTGGGTTCAAGTGATTCTCCTGCTGCTGTCTCTGAGTAGAAGGGATTACAGGCACCCACCACCACACTGGTTAATTTTTGTATTTTTAGTAAAGATGGGATGTCACCATGTTGACAAGGCTAGTGTCGAATTCCTCAGGTGATCTGCCCACCTCGGCTTCCCAAAGTGCTGGGATTACAGGAGTAAGCCATTGTGCCTGGTCACAACCAGCTCATTTTTATATTTTTTGTAGGGATGGGATTTCACCATGTTGCCCAGGCTGGTCTTCAACCCCTGGGCTCAAGCCATCCGCCTACCTCAGCCTCTCAAAGTGCTGGGATTTATAGGAATGAGCACGTTTATGCCAGGCCTGAGGCCAAAACTCTATCAAATCAGGCAATTTCCGGACAGTCTAGAACACAGAGTCCTTCCCCACTACTGCTGGGATCCATTTTCAAATAGATTTCCTGAGTAAACTATTGTTCACTCTAAATATTTAGTTGGAACCTAAAATATTAATGTTCTCCCATACTTTCCCAGGAGAATGCAAATAGCCTTAGCCACAGTTTGTCTCAGGATGACAGAGCCTTTTCTTTTTTTAAAGTTTTTTATTAAAAAAAATTAAATATAGGCCAAGCATAGTGGCTCATGCCTGTAATCCCAACACTTTGGAAGGCTGAGGCAGATGGATTGTTTAAGTTCAGGAGTTCCAGACCAGCCTGGTCAACATGGCAAAACCTCATCTTTACAAAAAATACAGAAATGAGCCAAGTGTGGTGGCAGGTGCCTATAATCTTAGCTACCTGGGAGGCTGAGGCAGAAAAACCATTTCAACCCAGGAGGCGGAGATTGCAGTGAGGTGACCTCATGCCACTGCATGCACTTCAGCCTGGGCAACAGAGTGAGACCCTGACACACACACACAATTTAAAAATAGAGATGGTGTCTCCCTGTTTCCCAGACTGATCTCAAACTGCGGCGCTCAAGCAGTCCTCTCACTGTGGCCTCCCAAAGTGAACAGGTTTGAGCCACTGTGCCTGGCCCAGAGCCTTTTCAATAATCATCTATAATCAGGTGTATTGGCTTCCCAAGGCCTCCCACGGTTTGCATGATTCATTGGTCTTTGCTACAACATTAAAACATCTTGTGGCTCAATCAGAAGTACCACTCTAAGGCTGGGTGCAGTGGCTCATGCCATAATACCAGCACTTTGGGAGGCTAAGCGAGGCTCCCTCTCAAAAAAAAAAAAAAGTACCATTCTGGGCCAGGCACAGTGGCTCATGCCTGTAATCCCAGCACTTTGGGAAGCCAAGGTGGGCAGATCACTTGAGATCAGGAGTTCGAAACCAGCCTGGCCAACATGGTGAAACCCATCTCTGCTAAAAATACAAAAATTAGCCTGGCCAACCTGGTGAAACCCCGTCTCTACTAAAAATACAAAAATTAGCTGGGTATAATAGTGGGCACCTGTAATCCCAGCTACTTGGGAGGCTGAGGCAGAAGAATCGCTTAAACCCAGGAGACGGAGGTTGCAGTGAGCCGAGATCTCACCACTGCACCTCAGCCTGGGTGAGAGAGACTCTGTCTTAAAAAAAAAAAAAAAAAAAAAAAAAAGGAAAAAGTAGCACTCTGAAACCAGGTGAGCCCCTGGTCTAGCCATTTCAGGAGAGATTGGCCTGAGCTAGGTCCCTTTTGCAAATCTTCTTCATCCACTTTTGAACACTGACAACTCACAATTTTACCAGGTGGCAGAATGGTGTTACTCTATCACCACATTCCTGAGTGAAAATTTGAGGGACACAGGACCCCAGGTTGTCTGTCTCCTTCCTCCTGGTCTCCCGATGCTGTTGGAATCATCCCTGGGATTAAAAGTTGGTGGTGGGGTGGGCCCAGGAGAATGCCAAGGAATCAGGGCAGGTGTGCCAGGAGTTGGCTCCCCTATCCTAAGAGGGAGGGAGTAGCAGAAGAATGGGGAAAGGGAACCCTTAGCCCTGGAGATGAGAGGGTAGGTCCCCATGCCCAACTGTGGTGACCTGAGCCTTAGAGACAGAGGTGTGCTAACGTAAGTGCTCCCAGAGCTCAAGTGGCAAGAATTCAGAATCTAGAATCAGATCCATGTAGCTAGACAGGCAGTGATGCCTGTGAGTGTGGGGAACACAAGAATCCAAATGAACCGAGGACAGGGTCATCATTTCCAGCCTGCAGCCAGACGTCTTGAATTGCCCCTTTGGAAGAATTGCTGTTTTTCTCCCAGGCCTCAGTTGTGACTCTGTGCTCCCTGCTGGAACTTCACTCCACCATTCACTTATCTCTCTCCTTGTTCCTGCCATTTCTTCTCAGCCTTCCCCTCCAGCTTGAAAATCTCTCCTTCTAGAAGCATCTAAAGACCAGCTCCTCCCTTAAGTATTGTTACAAAGTTTATCATCATTTGGCTTACAACTCTGATTTCAAGTGGCTTTGGCATGAACACTGGTAGGAGGCAGCCATAGATCCTGAAACCTCTTGTCATAGGGTTGGATGGGTCCACCTTCTCATATGCCTTGTGCTATGGCTTCAGTTTGCAGTTTGTGACTAGCAAGTTCCATTGCTATTTATTTTTGAAGCTTTCTTGTTTCTATTTTGATTCTGGTAATCCAAATTGCGGTTTGGTGTTTCCACGGAAACAATTCAATGATTGTTTGGCTTGCCAAGATGAACTGTGGGGGAGAGAACTGAATGATGTAAAACATTTTAAGTTTCTCAGTCCTGACGAAGGTCAACTATTGAGTCTCCCTGAGAAGGCTTTGGTCCTAGCTCCTTGCAAACCTAAAGAAGTTTTATTAAAATTCTGGGCTTCTGTTCCCCCTCCAACTAAATCCCTGGAGAAGAGCTCCTTAAACCCTGTTCTGAGCAAATGAGCATGCATCTGCCCACTGCCTAGACACAGATGATGAAGGCAGGAAGTTCTTGGGCACCTCAGGGAACCCGAGATGCAGAGACAGGAGTAGTCTGTGTCACCAGGGAAATAAGGAGGCCTATGTGCCCACTCCCTGCTAATCTGGGACTGGCATGGAGAGGCTCAGGGCTCACCTGCTTGACTGTACAGCTACATTTCTACAGTGAGGAAAAGTTCCACATTCAAGGATTCCAGGATGAATTGCCTGTTTGACAAATCTGAATTTTTACATAAAGGCTTTGCTCAAGCAAAGGCATACCTGTCTCTCAGGCCAGGGAGAGCTTGTACTCTCCCTTCTTCTCCACCCCCACCCTGTGATGGGCCCTCATTCCCAAGTCTCTACTCCAGGTAGGAAAAAAAAAAATCCATTTCAAAGTCTTCTAGAGTTAGGGATAGATCCCCATTTATTTATTTTATTTATTTATTTAATTTTTTGAGACAGAGTCTTGCTTTGGAGCAAGGGAGTCTCCTCAGGGAGACTCAATAGTTGACCTTGGTCATGACTGAGAAACTTAAAATGTTTTACATCATTCAGTTCTCTCCCCTACACCCAGGCTGGAGTGCAGTAGTGGCACAATCTCAGCTCACTGTAACCTCTGCCTCCTGGGTTCAAGTGATTCTCCTGCTTCAGCCTCCCGAGTAGCTAGGACTACAGGCATGCAACACGATGCTAGCTAATGTTTGTAATTTTAGTAGAGATGGGGTTTCACCATGTTGGCCAGGCTGATCTCAAACTCAAGACCTCAAGTGATCCACCACTTTGGCTTCCCAAAGTGCTGGGATTATAGCTGTGAGCCACCAAGCCTGGCTAGAACCCCATTTAATATAGCCACTTCTGCAAAGCTGCACCTGGTAGGGGCCAGGCCCTGACCAGTAAACCAGTGAACTAACTGAGCTCCTGAGAAACAGCTCTTTCAGACCTAGAGAATCCAGCTCCTGCAGATCCAGCTCCCCCAAAAAATGACTGCCCCCGAGTAACGGTCCTGCCAAGCCCTCCTGTTGTGGCACTAGGCTCCACTCCAGAAACTGAAGGTCGAGTGGACAGGTACCTGGTGAAGGATGTCTGTGGCTAGTTGACTGGAGATGAATGTTTTTAAACTGCTTTTGTTAGCCAGGCATGGTGGCGCATGCCTGTAATCCCAGCTACTTGGGAGGCCGACGCAGGAGAATGGCTTGAACCCCGGAAGGCGCAGGTTGTGATGAGCTGAGATTGCGCCATTATTAAACTCCATCCTGGGCAACAAGAGCAAAACTCCGTCTCAAAAAAAAAAAAAAAAAAGAGTGCCATCCACAACTCTATGAATAAGTAATTAATTAAAATGTTAAAATGCTATTTCTGAAATGTAAAATAAAGGACAAAATAGTAAAACAAAAACAATAAAAAAAAAAAAAAACCCCGCTTTTGTCTTTACAGAGGCAATACATGTTCACTACAGATAAATTAGAAAATACATTTGACAGAAAGACTACCCTCTTATCCACTACCCCCAACAGTTTTTTTGCACATGTGAGCTCATACACATTTTCACAAACTTGGGATCAATTCCACTTGATCCAAAGTGCAATTATGTGCATTTTCAGTTTGGGGATAACTTTAGATTTACAGAAAAGATACCTCATATATACCCTTCACTCAGGCTCTCCAATGTTAACATCTTACAGAACTCTGACACATTTATCAAAACTAAGAAACTGACATCAATACATTAAACACTAGACTTTGGCCGGGCTCAGTGGCTCACGCCTATAATCCCAGCACTTTGGGAGGCCAAGACGGGTGGATCACGAGGTCAAGAGATCGAGATGATCCTGGTCAACATGGTGAAACCCCATCTCTACTAAAAATACAAAAAAAATTAGCTGGGCATGATGGTGCGTGCCTGTAATCCCAGCTACTCAGGAGGCTGAGGCAGGAGAATAGCCTGAACTCATGAGGCGGAGCTTGCGGTGAGCCGAGATCGCGCCATTGCACTCCAGCCTGGGTAACAAGAGCGAAACTCTGTCTCAAAAAAATAAATAAATAAATAAATAATAAACACTAGACTTTGTTCAAATTTTATCAGTTTTTCCAATAACATTCTCTTTCTGTTCCAAGATGCACTCCAGGATTCCATGTTGCATTTAGCCATTGTGTCTCCTTAGTCTTTAGTGGTCTGTTGATAATTTTTGGAGTCTTTCCTTAATTAATTATTTTTGAGATGGAGTCTCAAAGGATCGTGCCACTGCCCACCAAGGCTGGAGGGCAGTGGCACGATCCTGGCTCACTGCAACCTCCACCTCCTGGGCTCAAGTGATTCTCCAGCCTCAGTCTCCCAAGTAGCTAGGACTACAGGCTTGCACCACCACACCTGGCTAATTTTTGTATTTTTAGTAGAGACAGGGTTTCACCATATTGGTCAGGCTAGTCCTGAACTTCTGACGTCGTGATCCACCTGCCTTGACCTCCCAAAGTGCTGGGATTACAGGTGTGAGTCACCACGCCCAGCCCGAGCCTTTCCTTATTTTTCATGACTTCAAGTCTTTTTTTTTTTTTTTTGAGGCAGAGTCTTGCTTGTTGCCCAGGCTGGAGTGCAGTCGTGGGATTCTGGCTCACTGTAACCTCCATCACCTGAGTTCAAGCAATTCTCCTGCCTCAGCCTCCTGCGTAGCTGTGACTACAGGTACATGCCATGACACCTGGCCAATTTTTGTGTTTTTAGTAGAGATGGGGTTTTGCCATGTTGGCCAGGCTGGTCTCAAACTACTGACCTCAAGTGATCCGCTGGCCTTGACTTCCCAAAGTGTTGGGATTATAGGTGTGAGCCACTGCACTTAGCCACCTTGACGGTCTTGAGTTCTGGCAGGTATCCTGTAGAATGTCCCTCAGGTCTGGATTTGTCTGACATTTGCCTCACGATCATATACTGGGAATTTGGGTTTTTGGTAGGAATACCAGAAGTGATGCACCCCTCTCATGACATCACTTGGTTAGGTGTTTGCCAGGCTTCCCCACTATAAGTTTGTGACTTTTCCTACTTTAGTTGTGGGAAGAATCACTAAGTCTAGTTCATTTTCAAAAGGTGGTAATGAGGTGGGAAATATGAGAGGGAGGACAGGAATTAAACTCCACCTCATCTACAGGAGAGTATGCATCCACATCCATATGTATTCTTTGGAAGGCATTGTTTTGAGACCTGTTTTTCTGAGTATCAAGTTAGCCTGACATCTCTCCATCCAGAGAGCCTATTCTTCACCTGAGCAGGGGCAGTCAAGCATGCTGTGAGCACTTCTCATTTGCTTCCATTCTTCTTGCTCAGGGAGAAGAAATTGGCCTCTGACTCCGCAGGTTGTGAATGCTTATTGAGCGTGCTACCTCCTGCAGGGACTGAGTGGTAGACGGCCTGAAAGGAGCCTTTAGTTATCCTTGACCTCTACTACTGTCCCAGACAGGGCAGTGGCAGTGGCCATAACTGGTTGGGAACTAGGCCATGCCCACTAGGGAGTCACATCCAATCAAGTGGCTGGGGTCTAACCATGCCATAGTTCTTGAGGCACCAGTGGTGCTAGGCCAAGCTCTGCTAAGGAGTGGGTGTGTAGCCTCCACCTGTGAGCCCAAAGGAATCACTAGTTGTGTTGCTGGCTGGGAAGCCTGCCCTGTGCCAGAGTCACTGGTCTAAAAGATAGCATGTTGGGCAGTCACTCAGCTATTAGCCCTTTCTCCCCAACTTTTGGTTTGTTCAGGTATTAGCGCTTATAAACAGCCCTGGCTAGTCCAAAGGTAGTGAGTTATCTCAATTGACTATTCACAGTTATGGATCTAACTCCTTGTTCTACTCTTTCCCCACTTCGTATACTAAACTTCACTAGTCTTTAAAAACTAAACAAAAAACAGCCTTTTGCTAGCTCTGCCTCACCCCCATATTCCTTCCTCTCTTACTAGCTCAGGAGGTGGGCACTTCCCTGAGATTTGGTTTTCTTTTTTTTTTTTTTGAGACAGGGTCTCACTCTGTCACCCATGTTGAAGTACAGTGGCACGATCTCAGCTCACTGCAACCTCCGCCTCCTGGCCTCAAGTGATCCCCCCAGCCTCAGCCCTCTAAGTAGCTGGGACTACAGGCATGAACCACCACGCCCAGTTAAATTATTATTATTTTTTAGATGGAGTCTTGCCTCTGTCACCCAGGCTGGAGTGTGGTGGCGCAATCTTGGCTCACTGCAACCTCTGCCTCCTGGGTTCAAGCAATTCTCCTGCCTCAGCCTCCTGAGTAGCTGGGACCTATAAGGTGCATGCCACCACTCCTGGCTAATTTTTGTATTTTTAGTGGAGATGGGATTTCGCCATGTTGGCCAGGCCCTAGGTCTGGAACTCCTGACCTCAAGTGATCCATCTGCCTTGGCCTCCCAAAGTGCTGGGATTATAGGCGTGAGCCACTGTACCTGGCCACTCCTGTATTTTTTAGGGGCCCATGGAAAAGAACACCAAGAGACACAGCAGAGGCCCACGACCCATACCTACCTTGGATACTGGGTATACTGAACATGAATCAAAAAAACACATTCAAGATGTCAAGTAAAAAAATAATAATAATAGGAAACACTTCAAAGCAATAGAATTCAAAAAACTAGTCTCACAGCTTAAAAAGGGACACAACTGGGAGTTAAACATGGTCTGGTAATTCAGGTTCTGCCAACTTTTTTAGAAATGTGGCCCCTGATGGCCACTGTGGCTGCTTCTGCTCAGGCTCAAGGGCTACCTCCTGCTGTAAGGCTTAGATCAACTGTCCTTACTCAATTTGATATTTAAAAGAGGTCATCACATTGTAGTCCTCTTCCAAGTCCAGAACAGTCTCAATGATATTATGATCATCAAAAGCCTGTTTGAGGCTGCCAGGGTCAGTATCTGAGGCCTTCTGAGGACTCTTGTTCACGAGCAGGGCCCAGGCTTCCTTCCTGAAGGGTGAATCTTGACAATGACCACACACGTGGTTTAATTCATTTTCAAATTCTATTTTTCCAGCCAATTCTTCAATAGTTCGGATGCTTGTATGGTCTTAAAAATAAGAACATTTAGCTTTACAATTCCAGTGGAAGGTTTCTGAAGACATTTCAGGTACAAGTTAAAAACCATTAATGGGTTGTCATTCTTCAGGGATTGTGGAAAAGCAGACATTTCTGCCCCAGGGCAGGTAAGCTGCTGGACTGCCAAATTAAGGTAGGTTTGGTATCCTCCTTTCAGGCCCAAGCATTTATTGAGTTCCAACTATATGCCACTCCCCAAGAAAGGTATAAATGGGAGGATACCGAAATGTACCTGGTTGGCCAGGTGCGGTGACTCACACCTGTAATCCTAGCACTTTGGGAGGCTGAGGAAGGCGGATCATGAGGTCAGGAGATCGAGACCATCCTGGCGAACATGGTGAAACCTGTCTCTACTAATGCAAAAAACTAGCCGGGCATGGTGAGTAGTCCCAGCTACTCAGGAGGCTGAGGCAGGGTAATCACTTGAAACTTGGAGGCTGAGGTTGCAGTGAGCTGAGATCGCACCACTGTACTCCAGCCTGGAGACAGAGCGAGAATCCAAACCAAAAAAAAGAAAAAGAAATGTACATTGTTGTCCTGGTTCTCAGGGATGACAAAACACAATGTGAAAAAAAAAAACAAGGTCTTTAGGGTAACAAAAATGTTCCTAGCCAGGAGTGGTGGTGTGTACATGCAGTCCCAGCAACTTGGGAGGCTGAGGTAGAATAATCACTTGCAGCCAGGAGTTTTGAGACCAGACTAGGCAACAGAGTGAGACCCTGTCTCAAAAAAAAAAAAAAAGAAAAGAAAAGAAAAGAAAAGAAAATGCTCCCTGATGTTGGTGAAGGCCAAGGAAGATGGTGGGTAGAGGCAGTAATGATTTCAGTTCACCTCCTCGGGCTATTGGAGCAGGCCACTGAAGTCACAGGCTGGCAGGGGTTTTACTTTGTGGCCCAGGATGAGTACCTATCCTCTCCAGGCCTTCTTTTTCTCCCTCATAACCTGGAGACCTTTCAGAAACAACAGCTTCAGGCAGCACCCAAGGCTATTCAGCCCTTTACTAGGAGCTGTTTGTCTACTATGTAGTATGAGTTGTTTAAAAACAGGGCACACTGGCATGGTAAGCCTGTAAAAACAGGGCACATTGGTTGGTATGCCCCAGCACTTTGAGAGGCTGAGGCAGGAGGATCACTTGAGACCAGGAGTTCAAGACCAGCCTGGGTAACAAAGCAAGACCTTGTCTCTATTTATAAAAAATACTACTACTAATAATAAAAAGACAAAATAAATAAAAAATAGAGCACATGTAGTTCACATATAGAACATACAGATTTCTTTTTTTTTTTTGAGGCGGAGTTTCGCTCTTGGTACCCAGGCTGGAGTGCAATGGTGCGATCTCGGCTCACTGCAACCTCTGCCTCCTGGGTTCAGGCAATTCTCCTTTTTTACAGGCACGCGCCACCATGCCCAGCTAATTTTTTGTATTTTTAGTAGAGACGGGGTTTCACCATGTTGACCAGGATGGTCTCGATCTCTTGACCTCGTGATCCACCTGCCTCGGCCTCCCAAAGTGCTGGGATTACAGGCTTGAGGCACCGCTCCCAGCCCAGAATATACAGATTTCTATGTAGAAAAAAAAGTCTGACAGGATATATGCTATACTATATTAACAGTGGTTATCTCTGCGTGATAGAATTATAGGAAAGCTTTTGGCTTCAAATTTTTCTCAACTTTTTAAAAATTGAGACAGAGTCTTGTTCTCATTCTGTTGCCCAGGCTGGAGTGCAGTGGTGCGATCTCGGCTCACTGCAACCTCTGCCTCCTGGGTTCAAGCAATTATCATACCTCAGCCATCCAAGTGGCTGGGATTACAGGCGTGCACCACCATGCCTGGCTAATTTTTTGTGTTTTTAGTAGAGAAGGAGTTTTGCCAATTTGCCCAGGCTGGTCTTGAGCTCCTCCTGACAAGTGATCCGCCCACCTCAGCCTCCTAAAGTGCTAGGATTAAAGATGTGAGCCACTGCGCCCAGCCCTTTTCTCCTGATCTTCAATTACCAACCCCCACTGAACAACTCTCCTCTTTTTTGCTTCTGTCCAGTCTCCTAAAAAAATCTAAGCTCAATCACCATGTCCTAGTGGTCACCATCCCTTGCCTTCAGGGACTCAGTGTATCTAGACATTTATGAAATGATCTGATTGATGTATCACTTCACTAGATAATCAGTTGTATGGGGGAAGGGAAAGGATTTGTTTTTTCATTTTAGGTTTTGGGGTACATGGGGTACATTTGTTAACATTCAGTTCTCAATGCAGAGTATGTTGTAAGCAACACAAATCAATCAAATAAAAATGTAAGGCTCATGCCTGTAATCCCAGCACTGAGAGGCCACAGTGAGTGCATCACTTGAGCCCAGGAGTTCTAAGACCAGCCTGGACAACATAGCAAAACTCTTGTCACTACAGGCTAGGTGCGGTGGCTCACGCCTATAATCCCAGCACTCTCGGAGGACGAGGCGGGTGGATCACGAGGTCAAGAGATCGAGACCATTCTGGTCAACATGGTGAAACCCCGTCTCTACTAAAAATACAAAAAAATTAGCTGGGCATGGTGGCATGCGACTGTAGTCCCAGCTACTCGGGAGGCTGAGGCAGGAGAATTGCTTGAGCCCAGGAGGAAGACGTTGTGGTGAGCTGAGATCGCGCCATTGCACTCCAGCCTGGGTAACAAGAGCGAAAATCCGTCTCAAAAACAAAAAACAAACAAAAAAAAACTCCGTCACTAAAAAAACACAAAAATTAGCCAGGCATGGTGGTGTGCACCTGTAGTACTACTATAGTACTATGGCGACTTGGGAGGCTGAGCTGAGAGGATCATTTGAGCCCAGGGAGGTTGAGGCTGCAGTGAACTGTGATCACGCCACTGCACTCCAGCCTGGGTGACATAATGAGACTCTGTCTCTCCCTGCAAAAAGTGGTGGTGGTGGGTTTTGTTTTGTTTTTTTGAGATGGGGTCTTGCATTGTTGCACAGGCTGCAGTACAGTGGTGTGGTTATAGCTTGAATTCCTGGGCTCGAGTGATCCTTCTACCTCAGCCTCCCTAGTAGTTGGGATTATAGGCACACACCACTGTGCCCAGCTAATTAAAAAGTATTTAGAGACAGATCTCACTATGGTACCCAAGCTAGAAGAAAGTGTTTCTTAAATCTGAGATATTTGTTGACTCAGGGACCCATGTGAAGGACCTATCTTCCCAAGGAGAGGATGGACTGGCCCTCTGTACTCACCAATCATATCAAGCAGATCCTCTGTGACCTCTTGGCTAGAATTGTTGAGTGGCAAGTTTGAGTCAGCCTTCAAATCTCTCTCCATATCTTTCCTGTAGCCCCCAGGTCGGGGAGGGGGGAGAAAAGGTGGGGAATTAGATTCTCTTTCAAGAAAATATTGAAAGGAACCCAGTTTTAAATAATCTCAAAGACAGAAACTTAATGGTGACCTTGTCATTTAAGCTTTGATTAGAGGACAATTAGAAACTGCCACATCCATGAAGAAATTGACTAACAGCATTATCATAATGACTCATGAGCATCACGGACTGTATTAACTTTTTTTCTTTTTTAGAGATAGGGTTTTGCCATGTTGCCAAGGCTGGTCTCGAACTCTTGGGCTCAAGCCACCTCACCCACCAAAGTGCTGGGATTATAGGCATAAGCCATCTCGCCTGGCCTGCATTTTTTTTGTTTAAGATGGAGTCTGGCTCTGTTGCCCAGGCTGGAGTGCTGTGGCAAGATCTCAGCTCACTGCATCCTCTGCCTCCTGGATTCAAGCAATTCTCCTGCCTCGGTCTCCCGAGTAGCTGGGATTACAGGCATGCACCACTGCGCCTGGCTAATATTTGTATTGTTAGTAGAGATGGGGTTTCACCACGTCCCAGCTGGTCTCAAACTCCTGACCTCAAGTGATCCACCCCCCTCAGCCTCCTAAAGTGCTGAGATTACAGGCATGAGCCAGCCACCACACCCTGCAAGGCCTGCACTATTTATGAGTGCTAATATAAATACTTGTGGAATTGAAAGGAAAAAGAAATTTGTGAAGTTAACTAGTTGAATGGGCTCTTTATTCCTTGCCTATGAAGCAGTCAAGATGGCAGAACTTTTGAAGTTTCATCTCATATGTTCATTCCTTCTCCAAGTCAAGGTGCCTGGGACCAGGCAATTTCAAGTTACTTGGGAGAAGAAAGTCTAGAGGAGACCTAGTGATGGTCCAAAAACTTCTGGGGTTAGAGTGGGGAGCAGAGGCAAGGATGAAGCCAGGAAGAAGGACTCAGCTTTCTTTTTTTTTTTTCTTTTTTTTGAGACGGAGTTTCACTCTTGTTACCCAGGCTGGAGTGCAATGGCGCGATCTCGGCTCACCGCAATCTCTGCCTCCTGGGTTCAGGCAATTCTCCTGCCTCAGCCTCCTGAGTAGCTGGGATTACAGGCACGCGCCACTGTGACCAGCTAATTTTCTTGTATTTTTAGTAGAGACGGGGTTTCACCATGTCGACCTGGATGGTCTCGATCTCTTGACCTCGTGATCCACCCGCCTCGGCCTCCCAAAGTGCTGGGATTACAGGCTTGAGCCACCATGCCCGGCCTAGGACTCAGCTTTCAATTCACCCTCTCAGTAACATGGGCAAAGGAGGGTACCAAAGGCCACAGCCTCCAGGTTCAAACACAGAGTTAAGATGAAATTAAGATTTTTGTTTCTGCAACTTAAAAAATAAGGTTATTTTAAAAACCAGGTTATTTTATATCCACTACCCCTTTGGGTACTGCAAAGTGGTTTCCATGACTGGTTTGACATCAGCGATTGACAACTAGCCCCTCACCTGGGACACATACACAAAATATTACGTTTCCTAGGCCAGATTCTGAAGAATGTCTGTGAACTCCCCAAACATAGTCACAGAGCTGCCAAGAGGAGGCAAGAGCACTGTCAGAAACTAAATCTAGGATCTTTGACCATTTTTGCAGAAACAAGAATCCCCTAATTGTAGCTGTTAAGCTATCAAAATTAGAATCACCTGAAACTGTCTTTTCTCCAGTTTGTCCCCTCTCCTGCAGTTCTCTGAAAGTCACTCTCAGGTGCCAAAATGGAGGAATGCATCAATACATTTTCCTTGCTGGTCAGAGGTTTTCTCTCAGGGCACAGAGCATGTGGTTTTGCATTTACCAGGACACGGTTTGGTGCAAAAGCAGAGTTCTCATTCTCAGGAGCATAGGAGACAGCGGCAAAAGGAGCAGCAGAGGAGCAAGCTGCCAGAGGATGTCTTCTGCAGAGGAGCCTGTGCACAGGCAGTGAGAAGGAAAGCGGAGCAGGGCCCGGCTCCAGACTCTGCTGGCCTGTGCATTCCTGGCAATTACTGACTCCTTCAAAGGCCCGGTCAATGGCTGCAGTCAGTTCCTTTCTGCATCTTCTTAGTTTTTCAGACATTTCTCCTAAAAGTGACCATGTCTTTATGTAATGCATTGGAAATGCACAGGGCAACACAAGAATGTTACAAATGAGGCTGCAAACCACCCCGAAACGGCCACAATTTTCTGGAGCTTGGCCCTAGCTATAGCAGGACCCACAACCCTCCGGCTTTCCTCTTGGAGTAGGCGGTTCTCGGCTCTCGCGGAGGAACCTGCGATCTGCCAGAAGCCCTAAAGACGCTCCGCCCCGCCGCGCCCTGCCCCTCCCTCCCCGCCCCACCACGGCCTACCGCCCCACCGTGGCTCCCAGACCGCCGGCCCTACCCCGCAACTCACAGCCCGCCCTCGGACAGGTCGGCAGCCGAGTCCTTGTCCTGACCCGCAGCGCGGCGACGCCGACCCCGCCAACGGTCATCGCACGCGCGCGCCCGAGACCGGCAGGCCCCGGACACCCACGGGTCAGGTTAAAGGTCAAACAAAAAAGCCCAGACCCGTACATCCGGTTAAGGTCTGGTGGCCCCACACGCAGCGGCTGGGGAGTGGGAACGGGGCTTTCGAACTGTGGGCCCCGGGGAGGAGTCTTGGCAGGGTTGTGGAAAAAGCCCGGGCTGGAAAGCATCTGCGAAACACCAAAATGTATTACTTTCCTAAATCCGCATGAACTGGAGCCCTTTCCAGGCTGACAGCTCCCACAAAGGTTTCTGTTCTCACGCCAACATGTAAACGACTGACGGACACAGCACGGGGCAGTTTTATGTACTGACTTCCTTTAAGTGTTATCTAGTAAAAGTTCCACACAGTATTTAACTGTCTTAATTCATCTAGGAAAGCGGGGGTCAACAGAACTGCTGGGTTCCACAGGAAGTTGAAGGGCCGGAGACCCCCAACACTAAATATCTTCATTTCTTTAGCAGGGAGAAAGCTGGAAATTACAAGATGACTCAAAGGAGAAATGGGCTTCAGTGGCTAACTTTCATAAAATTATAAACCCGTATCTGTGCACATAGCAAGGGAAAGAGGGGAGTTTACTTGAGGCTTGGGTTACTGTGAGCAGACTACTTAGGTGACCAGTATCGGCACCAGAACCAGAAATGCAGGAGCTCAGGGCAGCCCTGCAGGTGGGGTGGGTCTCCAGGATCCTCCATACTCAGTGCCTGTGTTCCTCTCCATTCCTTGGGATCCATCAGACATACTCTATTGTGTACCCCATCCCACCCCACTTCTCAGCTTCACAGGTTTCACAGCAATTTCTCACCACCTGTTTAAAAAGAAAAATAATTCAGCCTCTTGACATAGCCTCTTCTAGGCAAAGTTTTTTTTTTTTTTTTTTTCCTTCTGCTCATAAAAGAAGGGCATTTCTTCATCTGATTTTTAAACGGAACACGAGCAGTCTGCAGAGTGCCAAAGATGTTCTCCTGGGGGATTACACTGGTGCTGCAGGGTGGCAGGATCGTGGAGTCAGCATCAGTTGGTGTCCATGCTGCAAGCCTCGTCATCCCCCAAGCCCTGCTGAGAGCTGCTTCGTCGTGTCCCTCCATCAGAGGAACCAGAACTGCTGAGTGAAGGTGTCTTATAAAATTCATCATCTCGACGCTGGTAAAATAGCACATAAGCTGCTTTAGTCTAAAACACAAGAGGGGGAAAGACCATTCACTGGTTGGAAAAATCACCCATTTTCCCCAGCTTTTCTCTAGCTCTCCAAAACCTTTAAGATCTGCCATATCCAACACAGAGGAGACCCTTCCACCTGAGGATGGCTTCCCTGCCCCTGACAGGGAGCAGGGAATGGAAGGAGCACTGTGCAGAGAACTCTGAGGAGAGCTGAGCTTCTCATTTACAACAGTCCCTGAAGGAATGGCAGCCAGCTCCATCACACCTAGCTCTCACTGTCACATCAGGATGATGAAATAACCAACTAGCCTGAGAGAGGCCCTTCCCAGCTTTAATCCATGAAGACAAGGAAGAACCACATATCATGGCCTACTCACCACGATCTGATCCTCAGAGGCCAACGACACATTGCTATCATCAAAGTAATACCATTTCCCATTCAGTTTGTTCTTCGCATACGCAGTGTCTGCCAAGTCAACAAAGAAAATACTCCAGCACTCTCCAGAGGATTAATCAGGCTAGCTTATTAGGCTTGCACTAAATAAACACAAAATCCCCAAAACAAAACCCCTGAAATTAAAAATAGTTTACAGTGTGTGTCTGAACAACCAAAAGACAATTCACCTTCTTTTCTAATCTGTTCCTTCTCCAAAAGGATCTAAAGGCTAAAAATGGAGCTGTCAGGGACCAAGGTTTTAAACTATAATTTTGCCGGGCGCGGTGGCTCAAGCCTGTAATCCCACCACTTTGGGAGGCCAAGGCGGGTGGATCACGAGGTCAAGAGATTGAGACCATCCTGGTCAACATGGTGAAACCCTGTCTCTACTAAAAATACAAAAAATTAGCTGGGCATGGTGGTACGTGCCTGTAATCCCAGCTACTCAGGAGGCTGAGGCAGGAGAATTGCCTGAACCCAGGAGGTGGAGGTTGCGGTGAGCCGAGATCGCGCCATTGCACTCCAGCCTGGGTAACAAGAACGAAACTCCGTCTCAAAAAAAAAAAACTATACTTTTGGGAAACTAATCCAAAAAATAGAGCTATTTAACGCCAATCTTCAGGATGGCTATGTGCAATAATCCAGAACCAGGGAACCCATAAAAGAAGCTGAAACTTACAAGATTTAAGCAAAACAACAGCTCTCACAAGGGCATGCCAAGTCAATCTTCCTCACTTCGTCTAGGCAGGTGGCGACTAACATCAGCAGAATGCTTAGTGCCTCTGGAGCCTGCAGAATAATCCCAGTTAGGGGAACACTGGGTGTTTGGGTTTGCAGAGCTGGGATGTAACAACATGCCTTAAAAATTTATCTTTCTCTAAAACTGGGTCCAGAGTCTGTGGCTGGGTAACAGTTTCCCACAATGATTCAAGCATTTCCCATAGGCAATGCTTCCTGTCTTGATTTTACACTATTCCCAAGTAGGATGTGTTTAATACAGCAATCCGAGCCCAGTTCCTACTCCATCCAGACTTTCAGAAACTACAGAATCCAGTGGAGATCTGATTTCCAGTGTCAACGTACTGTGTGGCTCTAGGTAAGGTGTCGAACACTTCAGCCTCAGTTTTCTCATCATAGCGTTGACTGCACAAAGTGGTGGTGAGGAACATGGGGAAGGGCAACAGAGAAGGTGCCCAGGCTTCGCACAATAGCAGCAATGGAAGGAGCCCTGTGGTGGCTTTCAATCGAAGTTCTCACTGTAGGTCCAATGTGGACCCTCACACAACCAGCCTAACCTTATGGATAAGAAAACTTGAGGACAAGAAACTTGCCCAAATGGTATGTTTGTGTGCAAAAATTAGCAATTAAAAATGAACACAGGCTGGGCGCAGTAACTCACACCTGTAAACCCAGCACTTTGAGAGGCCAAGGCAGGGTGAATCGCTTGAGCCCAGGGGTTTAAGAGCAGCCTGGGCAACATGGCAAAACCCTGTTTGCTAAAAATACAAAAATTAGCCGGGTATGGTGGCGTGCACCTGTAATCCCAGCTACCTGGGAGGCTGAGGCAGGAGAATCCTTGAACCTGGGAGGTGGAGGCTGCAGTGAGCCAAGATCATGTTACTGCCCTCCAGCCTGTGTGACAGAGCGGAAAAAAAAAAGCAAATCTTATAGAAATTTTGCAAAAAAAGTAGAGCAAAGAGGAAAAAAGTAAAATTAACATTTTGGTGTCTCTCCTTCCAGGCTCACATCCCTCGGCCCATCAGTTTCTTAGCTTGTTGGTTAATACAGTTGTGATAATACATCTTGTAAGGATATAATTTTGTGTAGATTTGTTTTTTTTGGAGACAGAGTTTTGCTCTGCTGCCCAGGCTGAAGTGCAGTAGCGCAACCTTGGCTCATTGCAACCTCTGCCTCCTGGGACTACAGGTGTGTGCCACAACGCCCAGCTAATTTTTGTATATATATATATTTTTTTTTAGTAGAGACAGGGTTTCCCCATATTGTTCATGCTGGTCTTGAACTCCTGACCTTGTGATCCGCCTACCTCGGCCTCCCAAAGTGCTGGGATTACAGGAATGAGCCACTGAGGCCGTTTTTCATTTAACATACCATGAGCATTTCACCAGGTTAGTACTAATTTAATTTTTATCTTTTTAGGATAGATCTTGCTCTGTTGCCCAGACTGGAGGGCAGTGGCACAATCATGGCTCACTGTGGCCTCAATCTTCCAGACTCAGTGGATCCACCAGCCTCAGTCTCTCAAGTAGATGGGACTACAGGGGTGCTACCACATCTGGCTAATTTTTTTTTTTTTTAAGAGACAGAATCTTGCATTGTTGGCCAGGCTGGTCTTGAACTCTTGGTCCCAACTGATTCTCCCACTCTGGCCTCCCAACGTGTTAAGATTACAGGCATGAGCCACCATGCCTGGCCTAATTTTATTTTTAATGGCTGTGTATTCTTTCATCAAGTAGATGGGCAGTAGTGCCAATTGGTCACCAATGCTATTACTAACTTTTCACTGTTATAAACAGGTGAACATCTGTGTGTATAAAGCTTCTCCCCGATGTCAAGTTACTTCCTTAGGACAGAGTCCCAGAGGTGGGGGTACTGAATTAAAGAATATGAAAATGGAAAAAAGAATTTAAGAAAGAAGAGAGTGGAATGAATCAGTATGAAGAAAGCCTGCAGCATGAAGCCTATGGAACTGCATAAGCAAAGCACTTAGGGCAATGCCTGGTCCACTGGTGAAGAGATGATGGCTGAGTGCATTTCAACATCTCAGAAGGAAGCAGATACCAATACTTACAGTGGCCAACCCCCATGGCTCCGTAATGATTGGACACGGCAATGAGGTCGTACACGTAAGGCCTTGCTGATTGGTTACAGACAAACTCGGACATGTTCAATCCTCTAAGCACAAAACACAAAAACAGCTCTTGAATATGTTAAACCCAGACAAAGTAGTTACAGTAACCCAGCAACCTCTGTTATACAACAGGGCAGAACACAGGAAGGCACTCAAACTATCTGAGACAGAATAAATGAACAGACCACAATGGAAGGGGCCATAAGGTCTGTGTTCTGAAAACTGAAAACACTGGGAGGATGAGTCAGGTGGATCACCTGAGGTCAGGAGTTTGAGGCCAGCCTGACCAACACAGAGAAACTCCATCTCTACTAAAAATACAAAATTAACTGGGTATGGTGGCACATGCCTATAATCCCAGCTACTTGGGACGCTGAGGCAGGAGAATCGATTGAACCCAGGAGGCAGAGGTTGTAGTGAGACAAGATTGCACCATTGCTCTCCAGCCTAGACAAGAAGAGTAAAACTCCATCTCAAAAAAAAAGAAAAAAGAAAATGGGAAAACCTTCCAGGTAACTCCAGCACCAGATAAAATGGTGGCGAGGGGTCTGGAGACACACAGAGGGCTTCAGCAAGTATGCAGAAATGGCTATTAACAGAATTACAATTGGTGCCATAATAATTTAAACTCAACCAAAACAGGCCCCAGAAGCTCTCTTCCTCCAACATTTTATTTAAAAAATTTCAAACACATAGAAAAGAT